ACATATGGTATGTTATCAGGTTGGAGCACTAAAGGGTATACTGTATGCCCTACTTGTCATATTAACCATGATTCATATACTTACCTTGTAGCAGAAAATGTGTGTACTTAAGGCATCGCCGCTTTCTATCGACCAATCACATATGGAGAAATGATAGGAAAAATTTTAATGGTAAAGTGAAGAAAGATACTCCTCCTATTCCATTATCTGGACATGATGTATTAAATCAGTGGTAAAATTACAATAATGTGGCATTTGGAAAGAGAAAAAATTCTGAAAAGCAACCAACACTAAAAGGTTGGAAAAAAGAATAGTATTTTCTTTGAACTATCATATTGGAAAACATTATTGGTGCGTCACAACCTAGATGTTATGCACGTTGAGAAAAATGTTTACGATAACATATTGAGTACTCTATTATGTCGAGATGGAAAAACAAAAGACAATCATAATGCTCGTAGAGATTTGTAAATTTTAAACATCAGGAAGCCTTTACATCCTAAAGAGATAGCTAGTAGAGCAGGAAAGTTTGTATTGCCTCATGCATCCTATAACATGAGCAAAGATGAGAAAGAAAGATTCTTAAAAGTTTTGAAGAACTTAAAACTTCCCGATGATTTGTCTTCAAACTTCTCAGGACAAGTTCAGATTCAAGAAAGCAAGATCATTGACTTGAAGAGTCATGACTATCATGTTTTGATGCAACAACTCCTTCCATTAGCCATGAGAACATCACTTAGAAAGAATGTAGGTCTTGTCTTGAATTATTATTGTAGCTTCTTCAGAGAATTATGCTCTAAGTTCATTGATGTACATCTGATAGAAAAGTTTGAGCAAAGTATTCCTATTATTCTATGCAAGCTTGAAAGGATTTTCCCTTCAGCGTTCTTCGATGTCATGGTACATTTGACTGTCCATTTAGCGAGAGAGGCTAAACTCGCAAGACCGGTTCAATATCGTTGGATGTATCCTGTTGAGAGGTACGGTAAAATAAATTATATTCACTTTATTTTATATTTATTCTGGAAGTATAATTTATAATTTCCATGTAGGTATTTGCTTACACTAAAGAACTATGTCTGAAATAGAAGCCGTCCAGAAGGTTCAATTGCTGAGGGGTACTTGATGGAGGAGGCCACAATATTTTGTACACGTTACCTTGATGATGTGAAGTCAAAACTTAATCGATCAGTGCGACTTCAAGAAGGTCCCCTTGGTACAGGAAAGAGTAAAAAAACTATCGGCCTTAGAATTGTACCAAGCATATCGCATTATACTTGACAATATGGAATCAGTACACCCATATCGAGAGTATGTTTTGTGGATATGTTTCATAGTTTCATTAATGCCTTTTATTTTAATACTATATTGGTAATCCAGGTTATATGATAAACTTGTAAAGCAAAGACATTCAAATTGAGACAAGCGTCAAGTCCAAGTTGAAGGACATAGAAATTTTGTTGACTGGTTTAGATCTCATGTAAGCTTTCAAAACTACTTTACTTAAACTTTATAATTTTTCATAATAGCAATTTCTAATGCATTTATTACTTTGTCGTAGATTAATACATTAAAGAGACAATATACTGGATTATTAGTTGTTTTTACTATCAATAAATCATAGGCTGCCACCTTTTCTTTTCTTTTCTTTCTTTTTTTTTAATTTTTGGGGGGTGGGGGACTTGTCACTAGTGATTTACGAGATCTATAGTTACGCATTGTTAATTTTTTGGCACGTAGAGTGAAGAAATAATCCCTGCGACCCATTAAAAGAGTTATCAACGCAAGAGAAGTACAAAATATAATGTGCTGTATATTCAAAAAAAAACCTCCGAACTTTGAGAAACTTCCCAAAGTTTTTTTATTCCATCATAACCCATTCAACTTTGGTGTTTCTCATAAAACCCCCTAAACTTTCAAATGATCACAACATACATACCCTTGCGGTACTTTTAATACCATCGTTGGCTATTATTTTGATTCTATAGCTTGTTGGTCTATTAACAATATTTTAGGAGTTCCACGGAACAAGTTGAAGGTTTAGGGGTGTTGTGCTAGACACCCCAAAGTTTAGAAAGTTTGGTAGAATAAAAAAATAATTAGGGGAGTTTCACGTGAAACGTCTTAAAGTCTTCCTCTAATATAAAAAAGCTAGATATGATGCAAGCGCGGAGCTACATGGTAAGAGTGGTGGATTATACATTGTAAATTACCTTTTTGTCCTCCAGCAAACAAAATTTTGAGGGTATCTTCCTCGCAAACTGCTACGAGATTGATAACTCATTAAAGACCCCCACGACTTTGTCTCTTGTAGCGGAAATACGGTACAAGATCTGTAGTATACTAAACATTATCCATGTGATAAGTTCCGAAAGGATCGGATTTTTTGCTAGCAACCAGATGAAAGGTTGGAAGTTCCAAAAATCAGACGGGGGAATATTTTTGCTAATGAAAACTGCAATTAAACGTTATTAGTTGGTTTTCCATCTAATAGATATGAGGATATAACGTGTAAAACAATCAATGTTTAGTTAAATTAGGGGTTGAGTGATAGACTATATACTGATAAATTAATTTTACAGAAAACACCCCTTTAACCCTTTTACTAACATTTAACAGCGTTACATTGTCGATTTTAAAAAGATAAATTGTAAGTGACATTACGGGAGAGGAGTGATT